CAAGTCCTGTGCAAAAACGCATGATCGCACGGGCCCGTCCGGTGCGTTCCAGCCTGGGTTATATAATCATAAGATTTTTTTTAGTTTTATAACGGCGAAATCCAGTTTCATTCGTTTCCATTTCAATGCATTCTAGCATTTTCTAACACATTTTAATGTACACTTCGCAATAATTCACAGCGCGCGTAGAATTGACTATTTCTGGCTTCTGGTGGAATTTGGAGTACTAGCTGTTGCATAGACAGATCCAGAGAAGGATCTGTCTATGCAACAGCTAGTACTCCAAATTCTGTCTGTCCCCAAATTCAAATTCTGATACTGAAGGATCTGTCTGTCCCCTCCCCCAATGGCACAGGCACCAATGCTGCAAAAGCCAGGGTCTGTTCATAAAACCAGACTCTAAGTAGCAGTGTTACAACCTTATTCGCAGTTTCTGCATAATTACGAGGTAAGAAGGGGCCCTTCCCTCACCTCCTCGTCGCCCGTCTCAGGATCCCCTTTAATCCCCGTTGACTCCTTCCAGCCGCTTGTTCTAGATTCCGCTTTTGACCCAGCTCCTACAGTTCTTTCCTTTCAGATAAGCGGTGTTATTGGGCCGAGTTTGCGACCTCCGCCACTGACTTCGCTGTGCACTAGATTGGAACCATGTTTTTTACGCATTTTTTGCTGTGTAAGAGCAGTACAAAACGCATATTGTCACAGGGTTGTATGTGTGTGTGTGTTCGCAGCAACTTATCCGCAAGTTTCAACACGGGAACCAAAAAAGCTAGGAAACTGAAAATTTAGGGAACGTTCCCCACCCACGTGTGACTCCGCAAATTTAAATTCAGCCTTCTCGTACCCGCGGGTAACATATACGGCCCAGTAAAACTTTTGACGGGTAAATTATTATCTCGGGAACCACGGAAGCTAGGAAGCTGAAATTTTGGGGGCTGCTCCCTGCCTACGTGCAACCTCCAAATTTAAATTCAGAGCAGTGGAAATCATTAGCAGGCAATCGTTCGGTGGACGAAATTGCACAAAACGCATGATCACACCGGCTGCCCTGGTACGTGCCACTATTTATTATGCGTTTTTTGCAGCAATGCAATGCGAAAAACGCATATTGACGAGAGGT